CAACAAATCTCACTTCTATGGCATCAACAAAAACTTTAGCATTTTCATTATCCGAAATAGCACCCATAATGGATCGGACATGGAGCGCCTAATAATTTTCAAAGAAAGTTTATTAGTCATTTCCCACTTTTCATACGCAGCTACATATTCAGGATCGCTTTTATCTGTGGGTTTCGAAAGCTGCTTCTCCATTACAAAATCCAACACCAAAAGACCAAGTGCTATTTCTACGTCTCATTTCCATCTCACATAATTATTCCCAGTCAATTTTTCAATAGTAAACAATTGACTCAAAAGAGTCAGGGCATTTAAAACTGTAGAAACATAAAATAACATATTTAATATCATCCAAACATAATGCATGCAAACAATGGATGATAACATATCTATCTACTTAGATAGCCTCTAATTAAAGTAAAAAAAATCAAATGAACATTATTATGATAAGAGCCTATATGCATTATTATAAAGTCATATTTGGGCTAACAATATAACACGCTATAAGGTACTCTTAATACACATGATCAAGTTAGTTAACAAAATAGATTGATTTTTGAAATAACAACACCTTTGGACAGAAGGAAATTTCTAGACCAATTAAACTCCTTAACTGTCTTATAACAATTTCACATATAATAACACTTTTGGGCAATATACTATATATAATAATTCAAAACTAAGGTCCTAACGTTCATTTTTTTTGTTGAGAAAATCTAAATAACAATGAGTGTGTCACTTTGGCGGCTACCATCCATTTTTATTTCAAAATATTTCCAATGAAAAATTAGATCACAAAATAATAATTATGCAACAAATCATAATTATCAATTGATGAAAGGCAAAATTCATATGTGATTGAGAAACGAAATTGACAACAAAATTTCAATATATGAAAGGTGAAATTCAAGTGGACAAAAATAGCATCATTTAAATATATATTATCATTTTAACGAAAATATAAAAGTCGCCAATTTTAAATACAATTTGAATTTTAGGCCGAAATTGAAATATACTTGGATCAAATTTAAAAAATCCTATTTTAAAAATTCAAATTCCACACCTCCTTTTGAAAATTTCAAATTGGCCCTTGAGTGTTAATTGCAAGAAGGGGCTCACAATATAATAATTGCATGTAAATCCCTCGAAGAATCACAAATTGTAGGAGGAGCCCTCATCCCCAAAACAACTCAAAACACGATCTGATAATCAAACCCTAGGCTTCTTTCCCTTCTCGTGGCACGTCGGGCCTAAATTTTTTTTTCACGCAGCCCCACGGTCGGTGAATAAACGGACAGCCGTGGGCTGCCCAAGACAGCGTCCGGCAGCACAGAGTCCGGCGCTGCTCGGTTATAGCAATTTTCCTAATAGATGTTTGGGCAGCATGTCTCTACCAGCATCATTGTATGCTTATACATTCAAAAGGGTCCTACATGAAACCTTACGGTTGATCGTAATTGAAGTTCTTTTGTTTTTAGCAAAGGACGACCACACGACAGTTTTGTATGCACACAGCCAATCATACACAAAACAAGGTAAAATCCCAAATTTATTACACCATGCACGGCTGCAGAGAATAGCCCGAGTCTTGTTATTTGGATATTCACACATATACATACAAGAGGGGAAGAATAGCAATTGTTGTATTTAATAATTCAAAGTTGGAAATTGAAAAGCAAAGCTATTTTATCAGATGACTACATACAATAGCCAGGTTTTGCTTTTAATTTTGTTTAAAAGATTATAATCTTAGTATGTAGCTCTGATACCAACTGTTGTAATTATTTAATAATCATGC